TGTGGTCAGATAAGACCAAAATTAAGCTCTTTGGCAATAACGTGACTCACTGTGTTTGGAGGAAAGAAAAGCTGACTATGACCCTAAGAACACCATCCCTACAGTCAAACACAGAGGTGTAAACATTATGCTTTGGGACTGTTTCTCTGCTAAAAGTACAGGCCCACTTTGCAACAATGACAAGGCTATGTGCTGTAAAATCTTGGATGAGAACCTTCTTCCCTCAGCCAGAACAGTGAAGATGGGTCAAGGATGAGTCTTCCAGCATGATAATGACCAAAAACATAATGACCAAAAACATACCGCCTAGGAAACAAAGAAGTGGATCAAGAAGAAGACCATTTAGGTCATGGAGTGGCCTAGCCAGTCTCCAGACCTTAATCCTATAGAAAATGTATGCAGGGAACTGAAACTTCGAGTTGCCAAGTGACAGCCAAGAAACCTCAAGGATTAGAAGAGATCTGTAAAGAAGAGTGGACCAAAATCCCTCCTGATATGTATGCAAACCTGGTAACCAACTACAAGAAATGTCTAACCTCATTGCTTGCCAACACGGGTTTCGCCACCAAGTACTAAGTCATGTTTTGCTTGAGGATCAAATACTTATTTTACTCACTGAACTGCAACTCAATTAATATCATTTGTATATATGTGTTTTTTCTGGATTTTCAGTTGATATTTTGTCTCTATCATTTAAAATAAACCTAAGATAAAAAATATAGACACTTAATTTCTTTGTAAGTGGGCAAACTTACAAATTCTGCAGGGGATCAAATAATGAGAGAGAGAGAGAGAGGGAGGGAGGGAGGGAGAGAGAGAGGGGGGGGGAGAGGGGGGAGAGGGGGGGAGAGAGAGGGGGGGAGAGGGGGAGAGAGAGAGGGGGGGGAGAGAGAGGGGGAGAGAGAGGGGGGGAGAGAGAGGAGAGAGAGGGAGGGGAGAGAGAGGGAGGAGAGAGAGGGAGGGAGAGAGGGAGAGAGAGAGGGAGGAGAGAGAGAGGAGGGAGAGAGAGGGAGGGAGAGAGAGGGAGAGAGGAGAGAGAGGGAGGGAGAGAGAGAGGGAGAGTGTGTGTGTGTGTGTGTGTGTGTGTGTGTGTTTGTGTGTGTGTGTGTTTTTTGTTAAAAAGGAATTCCAGCTTACACCAAACTAGCATTAAAACAGCCAGCGCAGCTGCAGAGAAGAGGAGGGAGAGCCAACAATAGACGAGCCATTGAAGCCTAAGGGTGACGTCACCACTTCAGGCTTTACTTGTCATTGTCTGTGCATTCTTTCCATTCCCCAGCAACACCACTGGCTAACACAGGGAAGATCGCGTGACCAGATCAGAGCAACCTGAAAATGTGTGAATGAGGCCTTATCGAAAGGTAAAGAAAATCCCAAACTTTGAGTGGTCACCAAAACAATAATAGAGGAGAACACTAGATCTGATGCCAACCAGGAATTATCTCACTTTGGAGGGACTTCCTCTGACTTCCTGTTTTCACTATAGGACAGGACATGAAAGGAAATTTCCCCAACTGGAAAAAGATGGCACAGGGCTTATAATCACCCTATACACAATTTAAGAAAAAGGTTCAAACCTTTAGTTCTACTTCAGGAATGCATGTAGAACATGACCAAAGGATATTCAAATTCAGAAGACGTTTGAACAGCCAACATAGGCCATGGTTACAAGAAATGAAACACACAAATCAACTTGCTTAGTTCACACTAGCTTTGAAAGCAGGTGTTTGAGGGGCGTTTTTAATGCTCTTCAAACACCTATGGAAATTATACTATGGGCAGCACACAGTGCTGTTCACATTAGCAAAACATGCAGCGTTAGCGTCGCTTCAAAATTGGAGCCTCATGCCGAGTCAGGAGGAGCTGAAGCATTTCAACGCCTCCCATTCAAGTCCATGGTGACCCTCCTCAAATGTGTTTGCGGGGTGTTAATACCATTAGAGTTTATTATAGGAGTTTGTAGTGCAGTTTTAGTGCTTGTAAATTGCCCATACAACGTCTCAAAACCCTGCATAGGACGTTTGGGGAGCTTTCTTAAGGCTTGTAGAACGCCCATACTAAAGCTCATTAAGGCCTGTCTATCCTGTTGGATACTGAAGCGATAAGTGGAAGATCAATTCAGCTGGGTCATCACTATTGTTCCACAAAATTATGCTCTATGTCCTTGTACTCTGCTACCAGAATTACTGATGAAAGTCTATTCTACTCTTCTTGAGAGCAGACTGAGGCAGAGTGGGTAAACTGTGTTTCTACCCATAGACTTTCTGTGTTGTGTAGATATGGCATGTGATCTTGGTGTGATACCAAAACTAACCAGTTGTTTGGGTAGGAGTAGAGTAGCACTAGACACTTGTCCTAGGTAGCAGGAAGTAAAAATCTGTACCTGAAAAGTGACAAGTTCATCCGCACTACACCATAATGGTCTAATTGCAAACAGCCAGGTTTCAACTGACTTCACAAAAAGCACTACTAAGCACAACCGATTCAGATTAATGATTCTGGTACATAAAACAATACTAATTTCTGTCTTCCCAGGAAGTCACCTGAATTTCCTTTTATACAGCAGAGTATGGTTCTGAGTAGCATCTACCCAGAGAGCTGAGAAAACATAGCAAGTCTCCCTATGTATTCATGTTAATCTTGACAAATCACAATCTTGACCAAATAAAATAAAAATATATTTTATTACTGATTCTGATCCTCTCTAGTGAGAAACAGTCGGCAAACATTTTAACATTTTTGTTAAAACTATTGGTTAAAGTGGGTGTAAACCTTAATTATTTTTTTCCTAAAATAAAAAGGTGTTATACTTACCTGCTCTGTGCAATGGCATTGCACAGAACGGCCCCGAAACTCCTCTTCTGGTCAACCCGTTGGTGCACTCTACTCCTCCTCTTCTGTAAGTGCACACATAACAAAGCTAGCTGTTATAGGGGAATTTGTGTGGGCACACTCCCAAACCAAGCTGTCCACAGGCACACACAGTGTGGATCAGCCCACCCCCTGCACCCGCTGGCCGTCAGAGCCTCCTGTGAATACAGGAAGAGGGAAGAAGAGCCATTGCAGACAGGACAGCACTAGATCAAGAGAAACCTCAGGTAAGTGTTCAAGAACTGGGGGCTGGGGGGAGATTCTAATTAAAGATTTTTTCCCTACAATAGAAATGCATTAAGGTGAAAAGAAAAAAACCTTTTGCCTTTCAAACCACTTTAAGATGGACATTTAGCGTCTTAATAAGAACTTCTGTCCACTACTACACATTAATACAAAATGGCTTTAGAAGGGTAAGAAAGGACAAAGAGGGGACTGGCCGGCTGACAAAAGAAAAAAAAAAAAGAAAACAACAACAAACATATTCCCTCATCCATGTGGTGAAGGTAGATTAAGGAATCTTCCCTACTGTGCTATTGTATTCTGAAAATACTGTGCCACTGCCAGAATGAACTGATCAGTGCTTCAACTGATTGGCATGAGAGGAGTTGACTATTAGGTCGACTTTTCTTGAACAGGAATGGTCATAGATGAAACGAAATTTAGATGGTCACTGCTGAACTTGCCACATTTCAAACCATCTATTCCCACCTTAAGGGTAGCTATACATGGTGCTCAGGATTTGAAAAGAACTCATTAGGAATTAAGGAGGTGAAAAGTTAAAACTGTGCCCCTCTTGGAACACATCTAGGCCACTTGCATGATTCAGCCTAAATGGCCTAGCTGCTCATGTGCCAAAAACCACTTCCATTTCTTCCTTACATGGAGCGCATAGAATTGATTGTGCCTTGTGCAGAAATAAATGTGATTCCAAATGTCTTATTACTAAGGAAGTCCTACAGGGCCCAATCTTTGTCTCACTGTCACAGGCTGGGAACAGGCCATGTATGGGCAAACTTAGCTTTTAATTACTGTCTAGTGCAACGCTTTTTATTGCATATTGTCACTTGAAATGAAGCAATGAGAACAATGCATTATACAGTTTAAAAAAACAAAAAAAAACAAAAAAAAAAAACAAACAAACCTAACTTTTACCTTCACTACAGGTGAAGGTCACATTTACTGCTTTATAACTATCCCCTAAAGTATACCTAACACCAAAACGTTGTTTTTTAAAGTTTTTGATACTGTAGTGTCAGGTTAAAGCCACTTGAAGTTGTTAAAGCAAATATGTTGTCTGTAGATGCCTTGAAACAGCCTAAAGAATACTCAGTTTAGAGCCCAAAAATGTTTCACAGTTCAAATTTTCTTTACTGTGCACATGACAGCAGCTTAGACAAAAAAGCTCCTTTTTGTTTACCTAATAACAGTAATATTCTAAAGTTTAGATTACCCAAAATTGATATTTCAGTCATGTAAATAAATACATTTGTATCTCACAGGTCTCTATCATACATTACATCTAGCCCAATAAATCCACCATAGCTCCTGACACAAAATGGAAGCCTTCATGCCAGATAATATTTCCATAGTAAATATGAGGCACTGTAATGTCACCAGGCCTTGGCACATGGGGCATCTCCTGATGCGTTCCCTCAGTCTCATATACGAATCAGCCAAACAAATCTATGTCTCTTCTTCCATGTTCTCTGCACCTCCTAGTTCAGCATACCCATCTAGCGCTAAGACCCTGACTTCTCAATGGGCAATCAAACAGTGGTTCAGTTGCCGCTAAGGGTAGTGAAGTACTACAGATCAGGAGGTTAGGCAATGCTGGTGAGAAGGGGCTCTGAGGCGGGTTGGAGGTTAGAATGAAGATATGCTGGGGGAAGGGGACTTTGCGGAGGTAGACCAAAGAACAGTATGCAACAGCTTTCCACAGTGTGCTCCCCTCCCTGGCCACTGCACCAGTCACACTGAAGCGCATGGCCACAGAGTTTTGTACTAGAGGTTTGATTACGGTTGATTGACAGCGCACAGCAGTTAGCGGATGCAATACCACTATTAAGTCCAATATTCAGTCCCATCAATCTCTTGTGTTACAAAGATATTTAAGTCACATCACATACCTCCATTATGCTTAATCCTTCCACACTGGAACTGACGGTATATTCTGCCGTTTCATGATAGGAATCATCTAAAGGCAAAGAAAACAATGGTATTAGAGAAGACACTATAGAGGTCAGAAATTAATTAGCTTCATCTGTATGAAATCACTACTACTTCAACTAATGTTAGCACAGTGCTGTCACATTTGTGGCTCTCTGAGCACTATACAGTATCAGTACTCTTTCCTGAATAATCATGCAGTTGGACTCATAAGCAGAACTATTTAAACACTGATTTTGGTTCGCTGTCCTCAGTACACTTGCAATTATAGGACCCTCTAATGAAATGGATAAATTGTGAAAAGTACTTGTGATGCTTAAAAAGCCTCTACAGATCATTATGGCAGGGCAGAGTTCACTATGAATAAGGGCTCATGTACACTGCAGCTGATAAACTCATGTTCAGGAGCTTTTCTGCATTTTTTTCAGCAGCCCCAGAACTCTCCCTAATGTTTTCCTATGTGTCCATGTACATATAGTCGTTTACAGTCATTTACAGGCAGTTGAGTTTACAGTTGGTCTTTTGAACGCACCAAACTTGCGTTCAGGAGTAGATTTAATACGCGTTTCAAACGTCAAACGCTTGTAAACGTGGCTAACCGTGTTTATAAGCATTTGCGTTTTTTAACTGTTCCATATCCAGATGCTGTCCAGAGCCTTTTTTCATCATCAGAAATGCATGCAAAGTGTTTTCCATGTATTCAAATGGACCTAGTACACCAGCGCAGTCAGTTTAATGTTCTGTGTGAAGGAAAAATGGTGGAACATGCTGCATTATGCTCATGATGGGATCCATACTGAATACAACCAGAAAAGATAGGTAATCTCAACACATACTGCTCTCTCTGCTTCTGCTCTCTCTATTTCTCTCAAAATGTCTGAAACAGTTACTTTTTACTGTTTTTCAGTGCATTCTGGGCATTTTGGAAGGTCTCCTGGTGTTATCTTTAAAAAATTCTTCTAAGCGCAATCGCGCATAAACGCGGTATGCACATGCGGCTAAACAGACATTTTTTAACCTACGTTTTCCAGCAGTCAAGTTTCATTGTTCAGAAGTGTTTTTCAAATGTCCCGTGTACATGAGGCCTAATGGCTCTAGAATTTATTTCCCTCACTCTGGGGTGTGCAAAGATATGTAACAAGTGTATCACAAGCAACATTTTTGTACACAGACTCCTCTGACAGGTAAATTTACACTCGTTTATGCACGTAGGGGTGGAGTAGGCTCCAATTTTTTTTTTTTCGCCCATGTGCGGGAAAGTTTAAGTACTTGGTGTAACTTTATTTTTTAATTTTTTTAATTCACAAAAAAATTTTACTGTATCACATAGGGGACAAAAACATGCTCCATTCGTGTTATTAAAGTGTACAAGTGATGTAACGTTTTACACATCACTTCTGAGTTCATCTTAGCTTTGGGAGATCAACAAACAGATGTTCACTGGTCTCCCTCCCCTCCACCCCACAACGTCTGCCATGCGAGTCTCAAGCCCGCAGGTGGGACAGAGGAGCCTGGGAAGGATGGCAGGGGAGGGCCTGCTGGGGAATAGGGTGGGGAATGTTGGTATAGACAGACTCTGGGGATCACAGAAAGCAATCTAGTGGCTGCACACCGACTGGACTCACAGTTGTCGTGGAGTGAATTGGAGTGTGGTATGTGTAAAACCCCGATACCACCACTGTAAGATTTACAGATCAGATTTTACAGATTTTTAGATCAAGTTATTTTTCTTTTTTTTCCCCCTATGTCCCACAGATTTCCGGTCCATTTCCTGTTCTGGAGTTGCGAACAGGAAATAAGGGGAAATTCCTCTACAGTGAACAGATTTCCATCCTAAACAGTCACAGAAAAGGAATACACATAGGAAAATATTCTTCTTGTTTGGAAGACAACTTAAAATGTTTAGATTTTTGTCATTTTCTCTCTTATGGGGACATAGGAACAACAAAAAAACTGATAAAGGATCTAACCCTTCCATAATCTAACCTAAACTGGAAAACAATTGCTTTAACATACACTTTAACCACCGACCCTTTAAGAATGTGGATGTCATGAGAAAAAAGCTTAAAGGATCAGGATGTGCAAAGTTTGAAACTTCTGCACTTGTTATTCCAGATCCACCTACCTGCTGCCACCATTACAGGTGCTTCTTTCCCGTTTTAATTTTTACACCATGCGGATTAGTCAGGAAAAGTGAAAATCTGTTGCAGACACAGGACGGGAGTAGGAGAGGAGGAAGTGACCCTAGTCTTTGGAGAAAATCGATGAGAGGAGAGTGTAACCCAGAGTGGTAATCTGCCCTGCTGTTTCTGTCATAGGGTAATTACCCATCCATATAAGAGTTGGAGAGTGGTGATCTGGGTTTTTGGCTATAACCTTTTTATATATATAGGGTGTGGTGTTATACACTGGCAGTGTTATTTGTGGAGTGGTTTTCAAACATTGCATTGCATATCCTATGTGAATGTGTTTTCACTCATATTGTCATTTCACTTATCTGTATGTGCTTTGACACTTGTTTTGAGTATACACTTTTAGTTAATATTTTGCATGCTGCACACGAGTGGCACGTGTGTTCTATATCATTTAAGGTATGACACTATGTTGAGTTTTTTTCTTTTTGAGGTGTATGAATATCAGGATTTGCGAGTATTAAGAAGGTTTTGGTGATGAAAGAAGAAGAAAAAGTTTAAGCTTTTCGTTTTACACTTGTGGGGACTATTTTTTTGGATCTTTGATTTTATTTTGGACACGGTGGGACTTTGGACATAATTTTTACAATTTTCATAGTTTTGTATATATATATTTTTTTATTTATAATTTTTGGTTTTATTTGATGTATTTGCTTATAGAAAAGTCACATATATATTGTTTAGCTGGCCTTCAAGGGTGAAGGTAGATTACTTTTCTGGGATATTATAGGTTTAAGTGTTGTGATATAGAAGTATAAGTACATTTCCTATATGCCTTGGCCGGCACTGCAGCTCAAACACATTGACATCCTACTCTCACCTTGCAGTTCATCAGATTCAGCTGTCTCAATTTTGTCCATGAGGTCATTCGAGCTCCATTTTGTAATTTCTTTTGGCAGCACTTCCTCATTGTCTGACAAATCTTCTAAACACAAGGATGGCAAGGAAGAAAAAAGAAAAAAGACAAAATCAAATATCTAGACATGCTTTTAAAGATCCCTGAGAATACCCCAAGCAACCGGAAACTTCACACAGACAAAGCATGCTATGACTAAATCTGTAAGAAGCCATTTTAGACTATAGTACTGTACATAGGCCAAGTAAGTTGCAAAATAGCTCCTGGCTAAAGTTGCATTACAATATATCTATAGCCAAAAAGTTTAATTCTTGATCGTACAGTATAGGACACAGGCATAGCCTTGGACAACTAGTTATACATCGCTAAACTCAGGTTACCAGATACTGGCAAACAGAACTGTAAAGACCCCCATATAACCCCTCCCACTGACAATTATCCTTTTTCTGCTAGTGTCCTCAGGTAATGGATGATTATTTTTTTTCTTGTGGCATCAAACTGGTCCAGAAGGATTTGGCACTGTGACATGCTCTAGCTTCTTGCAGACTCCCCTTGTCCTCTTCCAGATAGTATAGAACTTTTGTCTGCAGGCCTGATCTACCATCTTCTTAGTCACTGGTTTTTGACAGCCTGGGTGCTGAACCTCCGGGTCTGAGGGACAGAGGCTTATCAGATTTGGTTATCCCAACACTTTTCCATGTTAGGAAGTTGACTTCTCAAAAAATATTCAATTGCATCTGAAAGGCTTACTTTGCATGGTGTGAGCAGAGAGAACGTTTCATCCTAGACAATACTCTGTGGGAAATATCCTGGCTTTTCTCCAGTTGGGTCTAGTTCAGTATCTGGCATGGAGTACTCTCAAGGGATACATTTCAGCTTTGGCTATCCTCTTCCAGTGTCTTTTAGCAGCTCAATCCCTGGTGAAAGCCTTTGTGTGGGAGATTGCTCATTTAGCATCTCCTAGACACTTTCTGGTGACACCGCGGGATCTCATTCTGGTACTTACGGCTCTTCAGCAGCCTCCCTTCAAACCTAACCAGGATATTTCCCGTAGCTGAGCTCATTCACAAGGTGTTTTTTCTTGTCAACATCACCGCTAGGTCAGTATTGGAGTTGGTGGCATTGACTTGTGAGGAACCTGGTGCTTCACAAGGATAAGGTTGTTTTGAGACCTAAGGCTACTTTCTGCCCAAGGTGGTCTCCTCCTATCACCTTATCCAGGATGTTGCCCTGCTATCTGTAAATAAATTTGTTTTAATAAAAGTGTTTTAAACACCTAAAATGTTATTCATTGCAGTTACCAATCCTTGAATGTGGTGGCTGCATTAGTTTTCTTTTTTAGGCTTTTTTCCCCCTTTATTTTTACCTAGTGATCCAGCTAGTAATGTACTTTATGTTTTAAAGAACCTCAATTCCGGATGGGAAGGAACGGAGGCACATTTGGACAGCATCATTGTCAAGCTGGGGAAAAGTTGGTGCTAGAAACACTAGTTGGTTTAGATGGACTTGATTAACAAATTAAAGTCAAACTACAGCTAACACTTTTAAAGCATTTACAGCAACAGCTTTTTACCTTTTGAGATAAAGGTTTTACATAAATGGATAAAAGCTGGCCACTGTAAGTACCCCCTTACCTGTCATTTTAGCTGACAGTTGGTCTGTTAAAGGAAGTTGAAAAAAAACAGACTTACTAGCTGGATCAACAGGTGAAAATAAAGGCAAAAAATGACAAAAAAACAGCCTGCCCACTAAGAATTAGTAACTGACAATATCATTTATTTTTGGTTTTTAGTTTAATGCCGGTTTTCTAGAGGAATGCTAGAACCACATCAGATTTTTTTTTTCTATTTGCCTGTTGCGGATTTTTCCACTTCTTGCCTGGTAAAATATTGTACTCAGAACAAGTGATGGAAAATCTCTCAAATAGAGCTCAGACAGCAGTAAAACTTGACAGGGATTATATCCCTATGTACTTTATACAACATAAAAAAAATAGTTTTGGCTATAGATACACTTAAAGACTGGTAACCAAAACAGTCAGTAAAAAAAAAAAAAAAAAAAAGATTTATTTATGTTATTATTGTATTTAAAATGACCGGTACTGTGTTTACAGTTGATAAATAGACACAGACACTTTGGGGTTTATTTACTAAAGCTGGAGAGTCCAAAATCAAACTCCCTTCTGCATAGAAACCAATCAGCTTCCAGGTTTCATTGCCAAAGCTTCATTGAACAAGCTGAGGTTAGAAGCTGATTGGTTTCTATGCAGAAGGGAGTCTGATTTTGGACTCTCCAGCTTTAGTAAATAAACCCCTTTAAGTCCCCAGTCCCACTGGGTGTGACTTGGCATGCGATTTGCATGCCAGACGACTTGCAAATCACATGGCAAGACGCACCCTATTTTCCGCAATTACAGCAGTCATATCGGTGCGGTTTCCAACTTGGCCGGAGCAGCACTGATTTCTAAAGTAGTACATGCACTACTTTTGGTGCGATTTGCATATACATCTGTGTCAGATGTCTTACAAATCGCGCCTCAAATCGGCATGTCATCCGACTTTGAAATTTTGCGACTTCACTGTAAGTCGCACGATTTCAAAGTCACGATCAATGTGACCGGAGCGTGTTTCCTGAAGAAGGACAAAGACATGTACAGTATTTTGGAGTTCTTTCTATACAGCAGCTCTTGTCTGCTGACTGCATAATAACCCATTCATGACCGTGACATAATTTATGCACCTATGCCTGTTGAGGATACCTAATACATTCCTGGCAGAAAAAGAGTTAATAGATGTGTAAAAAATTTACATGTATACAGTATGGTCAGTATGGTCTAAAAACATTTTTCCACCAAACTACAGTGGTGAAAATAATTATTTGATCCCCTGCAGATTTTGTAGGTTTACCCACTTACAAAGAAATGAAGGGTCTATAATTTTTATCATAGGTGTATGATACAGATATCAACCAAAAATCCAGAAAAAACACGATACAAATGTTATAAATGGAGTTTCAGTTCAGTGAGTAAAATAAATATTTGATCCCCTACCAACCAACAATAATTCTGGCATTCCCGCAGACTGGCTATGTGCTCTTGTGGTACACAGATTAGTCCTGTCAAATTAAAAAGGTGCTCCTAATGACAACTTGTTATGTCTATAAAAGATACATGTCCACAGAATATTTTTCCCATTCAAACCTCACCATCATGGGCAAGACCAAAGAGCTGTAAAAGGATGTCAGGGACAAGATTGTAGACCTGCACAAGACTGGAATGGGTTGCAAGACCATCAGCAAGAAGCTTGGTGAGGAGACAACTGTTGGAGCGATTATTCGCAAATGGAAGAAATACAAAATAACCATCAACTGCTCTCAGTCTGAAGCTCCATGCAAGATTTTGCCTCATGGGGTAAGGATGATCATGAGAAAAGTGAGGGATCAGCCCATAACTACATGGGAGGAGCCTGTGAATGATCTCAAGTTAGTTTGGAACACAGTCACCAAACAAACCATTGGTAACACAGTATCCCGCCAAGGATTGAAATCCTGCAGCGCCCACAAGGTACCCCCTCTCCTCAAGAAGGCACATATTCAGCCCATCTGAAGTTTTCCAATGAACATCTAAATGATTCAGAGAAAGATTAGGAGAAAGTGCTGCTGTCTGAAGAGACCAAAAGTGAGCTCTTTGGCATAAACGAGACTTGCCGTGTTTGGAGGAAGAAAAATGCAGACTATGACCCTAAGAACACAATCCCTGGATTCAAGCATGGAGGTGGAAACATTATGCTTTGGGGCTGTTTCTCTGCTAAAGGTACAGGCTGGCTTTGCAGCATTGAGGAGCCAATGGACAGGCCATGTATTGCAAAATCATGGATGAGAACCTTCTTTCCTCAGCCAGAACACTGAAGATTGGTTGTGGATGGGTCTTACAGCATGGCAATGATCCTAAACATACCGCCAAGGCAACAAAGAAGTGGCTCAAGAAGAAGCACATTAAGGTCATGGAGTGGCCTAGCCAGTCTCCAGACCTTAATCCTATAGAAAATTTATGGAGAAAGTTGAAACTTAAGAGTTGGCAAGCGATAGCCACCTTAAGGATTTAGAAAAGATCTGTAAAGAAAAGTGGACCAAAATCCCTCCTGAAATGTGTGCAAACCTGGTAACCAGCTACAAGAAACGTCTTACCACTGCGCTTGCCCACAAGGGTTTCTCCACCAAGTCATGTTTTGCTTGGGGATCAAATACTTACTTTACTCACTGAACTGCAACTCAATTTAGAACATTTGTATCATGTGTTTTTTCTGGATTTTTGGTTGATATTCTGTCTTTATCATTTAAAATACACCTACGATAAACATTATAGACCCTTCACTTCTTTGTAAGTTGGTAAACTTACAAAATCTGCAAGGGATCAAATAATTATTTTCCCCTCTGTATAACCCCTTATTGAAATAAATGGTAGAATGAAAGTGTTGGGTGAATAAATGCTGGAGTACTTACCATGAGCATCAAAAAACTCATCATCTGAGCTCTCATCTGAATCCCTGGCAATGCTTTGCATTCTCCACTCTGATATACTGTGTCGAGAAGGACTAGCTGTCAGTGAAAGAAATGAGAATTATATGTATGCAATACACACAGTAGAAGGCTGGTAAATAGTACGAAATATTTAGATCTTTTGGTTAACAATATATCCAACTCTATTACTGTAAAGGTGATGAACAATATTGATCAGGCTGGGAAAAAACAAAAAACAGATAGTTATGAAATCTCCTTAAAAGTAGAACTAAAGTTGTTTTTCTTAAAGCAAACACTCTGCAATTGCAAGTTAAACATGGCATGCATGCACACTTGCAAAGCTAGGGGGGAATTTAACAAAACTGGAGAAGGCGGAATTTGGAACTGTTATGCATTGCAACCAATCAGCATCTATCTTCAGCTTGTTCAGTTAAGCATCAAAAATGAAAGACAGAAGCTGACTGGTTGACTTGCATGATTCAGATTCTGGCTGCACTAGTTTTAATAACTTCCCCTCTATGTGTCTTGTGGCTTATCCAGAAGGACCCCAGGCACACTAGCAGGACTGGGGATTCGCTATGACCTCTTGGTTGCAACTAGTTTGGCTGCATAGCCCAGAGGTCATATTAATTTCATAGCTCCATCTAAGTATGTCATAATGCCCCTATATTTGCATAAGAGGCAGAGACATACTTAAAATATACCAGCTAGCTCCTGGGTCCGTTTGACTGGTTCCTGTATTTCAAGTGAATTTGTAAATGCTTGGTTTAAAGTGAAACTTTAGGCAGAACCTTAAATTTTCAGTTTTGGATAAAGTGAGAAAGCGTTCGACCCCCTGTGAATTTTGTTATTGCCATCTTCTCTATTTGTATTAGTGACTATCTTTTCCTGCTACCAGTAGTGACACTGACCCTAGCCAAATGCAAAAATAGTGAAAAACAGTCAGAAAAGAGGAGTAGGGGACAAAAATGTCAGTGGCCTCCACCTGTAAAACCATTCCTGTTTTGGGGGTCGACTCATTGTTGGGCATCTAGTGCACCTCTTAATTTCATTAACACCAAAGCAGCTGAAACAGATTAACAACCCCCTCTGCTACTTAACTGACCAGATCAATATCCCAGGAGTTTAATTGACTTGATGCTATAATCTGATTAAAAAGTGTTCCTTTAATTTTTTTGAGCAGTGTATGTGTTCCTGCAGACCAGTGAGACTTGACGGAAATGAGTTGCATCTAGACAACATTTCAGTTTTTCCATGATAAATACAACTTGCACCTCTGCCTCTGTGTGCTAATAAGGATAGCTGTTATTCTTACTGCATCCTCCTCTTAAATATTTTTAAACTGCCAGACTACAATTACTATTATACAGAATTTATATACCACCAAGTGTTTGTTCAGTGCTTTAAAACATGAGGGAAACCCGTACAGTTACAATACAATTCAATACAGGAGGGCCGTACTCGGTAGAGCTGACAATCTCAATACAAGCTTTCACCTGGCGTGGCACTATAAAATACATACAGATACCACAGAAACAGGGAGGTGTATAAGCAAGAATAAGCAAGAATGACCATGCATTTAAATGAAAAAAATATTAGGTCATCTGGGCTATACTTAAGAACAATTTCATAGTATTTAAACAGAATTATTTGCCTGGTAGTGAAAGAAAAAGTGTGTGTATTTAATGTATATCATCCAATCATATTATAATGATTTTCGCTTTCAACATTTTAAAAATGTGTTAAATGTAATACTATAAATGCTGTATTCTGATGCTATGCTTAAATAGTTTTAGTTGGTGTGTTAGCAATTCTTGTCACAATGTAGATGTAGGAATCTCAAATGAACAAAGTGTGTGTGGGAGGGGGGGACAGGGGTCTATTGTATGCGGTCATATACCTGACCACTCTAGACTTTATTCAAGTTGTTAAAGTGGTAATAAACCCCAAAAAATAGAAAATTAATATACTGAAGCTCATCGATCTTTAAATTTGCTGGCTGCATGTGGTTCATTTTTTTTTTTGATCAGATCTTCTGACCTGTTACACGCTTCCTGTCATAGGGTATCTGCACTCTGGGTGGAGAAGCAACAGACACCCTTAAGAGCAGCCCTATCTGTGAGCAGATTTAGCTGCACTTGACTAAGAAAGCCAAACTCCAACTAACACTTTATTCAGTTACGGCAACAGGTTCTTTCCTTTTAGGTAAAGGTTGAATAAAAACTGAACATTATAAGCACCTCTGTCAATGCTTAAATGTCATTGGTGTGATCGCTCTTCAAAGAGCATTTGACAGGCAGGGAGGAAGCATTGTATCGTCTCCTCACTGCCTGCTTTAACCCCTGAACTCCACGTGGGGTGCTTGCATCTTAATTGGTTTTCATTAAAATTGACAGGGGGTATAATTCTTGCCACGGCTACAAAGTAAAGCATCTTGGCTACTGCATGCATGTGCTTCGCCTGCTGCCTCTGCAGCTAAGGAGTGATTGAGGGTGGTAAAAATGAATTTTAGCACCCCTCAACCATTAGTGTGAAAGAGCCCTAACTGCCACTTTTGTCTAACAGCTTGGCCTGTTAAAGGAAGTTGAGAAACAACAAACTCACTGACTGAATTACCATGTAAACCTAAAAAATGAACAAAGGCAGCCACTTTGACTAACAATTGGTAAGCTGCAGTATAACAATTCTTTGTTTTTGGGGTTTTATACAACTTTAGGTATTATTGCTAAACCACAAACTGGACCAAAATATTGCTGGAACTTTTTTTAAATGTACAAAATGCAGGTAATTATACACCTGCATTTTATTTTCATAATGACTTGGCAATCTAAATAAAAAGGCCCCCATAAATGTTTTTTTCGATAGGCTGCCAGCAGTGAGCTGGTTACTGTTGGGCTATCCTGGTTATTTGCATAAGCCTCATGCTGTTCTGTTCCAGAAATCGTAGAGTTTATTCTTTGGTTTAAAAGAGAAAAAAAGGCAGCGGGGAGCAAGCGATGTGCTCTACTTCTCCACTCATGCATCAAGCATATCAATTTTGAATCATAATTCACCTTTCAGATGCCGCCTATACAATACAGGTCATGAGTTGAGCTGTTGGATTAGTCTCTACAAGGAGGATTTTCGATGCAAGCTAAGTTAGAGTTTTGCTTTGAATTGTTTTGCATTTATGTATCCCCTGCAATGTTAACGACAGTCCAACTGATGTATGATGACTGGGTTGTTTACACTGTTTAATTTCGCTTGGGAGATTTAATTACTGATTGAAGCAACATGTATACCACTTATTCTGAGCTACCGGCAGTAATGTGAAATGAAAATACATTACAGAGAAAAGAGGGATTAGAATAAGAGGTTCGTGTATTTCTGAACACAGCATAGAGAGATAAATGCAGAGATCTGGATTGTGAAAATGGTAAAATAGGAGAAAGGTAGAGCAGTACAATGACCATATTTATTAGAATTCCTGGCGGAAAAATACTGCACTGGGTGAATGACAGAGAGAATATGACTGGTTATTGCTAATAATGTTTTTTGCCTGTCTTACTGATGTCCTGGACAAAGGTGTGATGAAAATCCATTTTTTCAGTTCATACCTCCTCTCTTTGAAGACCTAGATGATCTGGAAGATGTAGACCACTGCTTGGTCAAGCCTCTTCCTGTCAACGATTCTGTAATGCCACTTGGCTCATCTGCTGTCTCTATAGAGGTGATGACCTTAGTTTCTGCATCCTTCTCTCCAGGAGATTCTTTGGCGCCATGCTGTTCTGCTTCATTTTCACTTAAGCTGAACTGTGCCATTTTCTGTGCCAGCATCAGTTGTGCTTCCTTCTCCAGCTGTCTGATGTCCTCTATGGTTAAGCCATACCATTCATCTTGCCAACACCAGGCCTGCCGATGTGCTCTGACCATAACTTTCCGTAGACCTAACGGACATGAAGTTTACAGCAAAGTTACTATCACAGAAGATACAGTATTGTGTCATTCACAGGGAAAACCAAGAAACTATGAAACATCAGATTTCATGACCATTATAACACCAACACATCAGATATAAAATATAATATATATCCAAGGCTAAAACTGAAATTACATTTATGATATTTTTATTTTCTGTAGATGGTAAAGTGGAAAACAGCTTAATACTCAGTAGAAATACACAAATGGGAGCTGTTTTACATGCAAAAGGATTTCTGTTTATCCAGTCCTGAGAACTGCATAGCTCTGTCAGACAGAAGAACCAGGTTGGTGACCTTAGTTTTTTTCTGCTTCAGTTAAACAATAGAGCTAGGTCACCTCCATTCTCCTCCATTGGACAGTAAAGTTTGCTCACACTGCTTCTTGTCCGCATACCTGTACGTCTCCAAATACTTTCCCACTTTTTGTAGTTTGCCTGCTGCTGTACAGGGTGGGTAGTATAAGAGATAGGACTTCTGATAGGGGTCTCAAGTCCTGAAACTTATTTACCATCTGTTGCATCACCTCAACTCCCCCACTTAGAAGATTTCCTGTAGAGGTTTATGACAGTATGGCCACACTTTGTATTGGTAACATTCTGTATTTGCATTGTAATATTACTACTTTTAAAAGTTATACCGGCTACATTATATTTTGTTCTATTTGATTAATAGCAAGCTTCTTTTCTGTGTAAATAAATTAGATTTTTTGCACAGTTGTTATCATTTGGTATTAACTTTATTGGTATTAGCCACATCAGGATCAGTTAAATTCATGTATAGACAAAAGGTTGTAATCACTTATTACATTTATAATCTTAGATAGAACCAAGGGAATAAGTGAAGTAGCAAAACCGCCAAAACAATACTAAGTAAAATTCAGGTACACTGCCTGAATTTAAAAATATATATCATTATGTTTTGAAGAATACATAACTGCATTCATTGGCGCAATTTTATGTGTTTGCAGTTTAGCTTTAAGGCACCCTAAAAAAGTAAGAGTTAACTGCATTTGTTGGTGTTATTTTATATCCATCTGGAGTTTAGCATCAAGACAATGCAAACCAGCAAGGAATAAAAGCAAAGTGCTATAACATTTGCCAGATGTCAGCTTACACAGTGAAAGACAAACTGAGTGCTATGTCTGGCTGCAGGTTGCAAATTGCTCTTATTAGGTAAAACTAGACAATGGGAAACTGAAGACATCCATGAGCTAATTCTTGCTGGTTAAATCTTCTTAAAATAATAGCCAATTATTGTTCCAGTTTGCAACACACTACATGATTTGAATATCTTGGTAAATAACCTGGAAAGGTTGAAAGCAATAAATTAAACATCATATGCACCTGGAGAACAGGCTAACGTAAGCAAGGATGGTGTCCATTTCCTAATGGAACAGACATCCATAGCACAGAGCACATAACTGTTTGATGTGCAGGATACAGCACTGGAAAGGTATTTATGTCTGGTAAAGTCAGATGTCAGTGCAGACAGGTCACAATATTAGAACAATAATTTGTGAAAAACTACAAATTTTCGACTCAATGATGGCCAAATCATACAGTCGTTTTTCCAACAAGAATATGCGCATGAGCTGTGACCTGGAAGGAACAGAACTTTCGCCTGTTATAATGGGGTGAACTTTATGACTTGGTTGGCTGATTTTCGAAATCATTGATGGCACCATCGGATTACCGAGCGAACGATGTTTTCGATTTTCGGATGAAAAATCTTTCGGAATTCGACCCATGCATGGCCTGCATAAACTGGCCCCTTGATTTGAAAGTTTGGAGACCCGTGATCTACAGTAACTGTAAGGCAAAACTACCATAATAATCTTTATTTCACGCTAACTATAGCAAACACATAAGTATGTTTCAAAATAAATAAACCCCTAGGGGAAAAAACATTTCCCCAAAACACAACCTAAAGAGGTAGTAAATTCCTGCTATTAAACTTGTACGTACAAGTAAGCCAATAAAAAAGCTTACCAGTAGGTACAGTCAATATAGCCGCCAGTGATGTTAACTGCGCATGTGCTCTGAATGGACGGCATACTCGAGTGTGCTGTCCCGTGATCGGGACTTTGGCGTACATGCGTGGGAGTGACATCACTGCAGCTTGGTCATTCAAACGACCGGAACCCATGAACCCAGCAGGAAGACCAGGTAAAGATGGAATCCCTGTCAGCAGTGAGAGCGCTCTGCTGGAGGGATCAAATTTATAGGTAAGTTTGTCATAATTGAGATTAGAACCGCAGGAGGCCTGGTTCTGGGGCCATGTCCGCCTACTGAACTAGAGACCGATCTAGGAAGAGAGTCAGGAGAAAGAGGGGAGAGACAGCGCAATCCACCAGACACACCTCCACCAGGACAAATATGACCTCACCTCCACCTGCAGGACCGACACCCAAACTGGCCCTCACGTTAGCCAGCGGTTAGTAACACCCACCCAGGGCCTGAGACCCCCACACACATATACACACCTGTAGTGACCCCTAATATCCCTTCTACTGAGGACACTAATCACCGACCCTGACCCTCCAAACCTATGTGGGGGGACTCTGACTCAATATATCACTTATGCTGCAGAGGACAATGACACCTACCCGATACCCCTTATTTAGCCACTTGCCATCCAGAGGATTTACCCCCCTTCCTGACCAGGCCATTTTTGGTGCTGTGTTACTTTAACTGCTAATTACGCGGTCATGCAAAGCTGTACATAAATGAAATTTATGTAATTTTTCCCCCCACAAATAGAGCTTTCTTTCGGTGGTATTTGATCACTCCTGCAGTTTTTTTTTTTGCACTATAAACAAAAAAAGACAGACAATTTTGGAAAAAAACCCAGTATTTTTGACTTTTTGCTATATCTATCTAAAAAATTTTTTTTAAAAAATCTAATTTCTTCACAAATTTAGGCCAAAATGTACTTTACCTTTGCTAAAAAAAAAAAAAAATTCCGATAAGTGTATATTAATTGGCTTATGTGAAAGTTATAGTGTCTACAAATGGCGGTATATACACTGGAATTTTTTTTCTATATCAGTAATGGCAGCAATCAGCGACTTATAGTGGGAATGCGGTGGGCATTCTGACACTGGGTGGGATCAGCCATTGACATCCCCAGTGGCACTAATACAGCAATCAATGCAAATAAAAAGCACTGACACTGTACTCATGACACTGGAAGGAAGGGGTTAACATCTGGGACGATCAAAGGGTTAACTGTGTGCTGTGTGTTTCACATTGTGTGCTGTGTTGTATTTTACTAGGGAGACATGCTGCTTTGTATTTTTCTTCTGTGCAGAGGGATACAAGCAGCATGTCCATGCTGACAGGAGAGCGATCTATGTTGTTTACACACAGATCTCTCCCCTCTCAGCCCCACCAATTATCACTGAATTCCAACCAGGAATCGCCGGCCGGGATCCATTTGTATCCACAGCAGCCAAAAGCGGCGTGGGTAGGGCGTGTGCTTCCCCTACCCGGAAATGTAAAAACACACACACACACACACACACACACACATCTACATATATATATATATGATTTTGTGCAGCCCTGTCGCAGTACTTCTGTTATAGGGCAGAGGGCAACTGGATAACCTCTAAATTTTTATTTATTTACATTTAGCCTTTAATTTTTTTTCCAGTTATTCCCTTTTAAGCAAAAGGGATCAAGTGGCTGAACAGCAAATACTCGCACACCATCATCCAGCCATAGACAGCTCCATTTCTCTGCTACCTCTCAGGAGCCTCACAAACCGCCAGCTACATGGGAACACAAGCTAAAATGGCCGTCCTTCTACTACCCTGCCTCAACTGCACCAGTGTATGCTATAGAGAGCGGCCCCATGACCTCTAATCGCTGGAGATGAAGCTGCAGCCCAATACTCCTTTAGGGACACACACAGCATGGCCTGGCCAGACCAACAGCACACTGCCCCCAGTGGCCACCGGGAGAATGACCCAACATTCAGATTAAAAAAAAAATACTGCAAATGTAAACTTACCATTCCTGCAGCAGGACCCTGAATCATAACAGGAGTCCAACCTTCACCCATAACGGCAGGCTTTGTTATGTAGACCTTCAAGGACTCGGTCCCCATAATGTGGGGCCACTGCCTTGGACCTGTACAGCACCCCGCCGGAAAGCACCTTGGTTAGTATTATACTGCACAGGGTTCCATTATGCAGGGTCCAGCGCCATAAGGCTGCAATACAGGAAAAAACCCAAAGGATTCTTCTCCAGTGAGGCTTTGGTACCATCCATTTTGGCTAATAGCTTTCCGAATAGGTCTGATTAAAGTCCACAAGGCAGCACAGTGGCTAAATGGTTAGCATTTCCGCCTGGCAGTACTAGGGTCATTGGTTCGAATCCCAACCATAGCACCACCTACCTGGAGTTTGCATATTCTCCCTGTGCCTGCGTGGGTTTCCTGCGGGTACTCTGGTTTCCTCCCACACTCCAAAAACATGCTTGTAGGTTACTTGGCCCCTGTCTAAATTGGCCCTAGTATGTGTATGAATGTAAGTTAGGGACTTTAGATTGTGCGCCTCTTGAGGGTTAGGGACTGATGTGAATGTACAATATATATGTAAAGTGCTGCGTAAATTGACGGCGCTATAGAAGTACCCAAAATAAATAAAGTCCCTGATTCTACAATGGAACCGTACTTCCTGTGTAAGGGGGTGTTATATAGGGGAGGACTTCCTCTCTGATTGGTTGACCAGTGTCCATTCAACTATAGGTGGCATATGGGCAGCACAGTGGCTAAATGGTTAGCACTTCCGCCTGGCAGTACAAGGTTCGTTGGTTCGAATCCCATCCACGGCACCTCCTGCCTGGAGTTTGCATGTTCTCCCTATGCCTGCGTGGGTTTCCTCCGGGTACTCCGGTTTCCTCCCACACTCCAAAGACATGCTGGTAGGTTAATTGGATCCTGTCTAAATTGGCCCTTGTATA